AGTGAGAGAGAGAGCAAAATGCACACACAGAATCAGAGACAGAGCCTAAAAGTAGGACTTTTACTAGGAAGTGCGACTGTCAAGTGTTAAAATATAAATGTTTGACAATGATGTTCGGTTATTAAACTGTGGAGCGATTTGATTGTGGGAAAGAATGGAAAATCAAATAATAAAATAATACCCGGCAAAAACTTGAATGCTGTAAGAGTCGAATAACCCATTTAAATGCAATATAAACCAGTAAAGAAAGTCTTAAAGTCGGGCGGGGCCGACTTTATGATACCCTACACCACTTTGCTAATTTAGTTGAGCTCCACATAACAATTAAAAGTTTTTTATGGGAGAATTCAATCATAAAAGTTCAAAGGACTAAATATGCCGAAGCATTTGTATCTTTTAAATTCGGACTTTTATTGCCCATTTGGTGCACAATTAATTTGAAATCAGATAAAAATATACATAGGAGCTATATCCAAATCGGAACCGATCTCGATAAAATTTGGCAAAGATATTTCTGAGCTGTATTTGATATATTTCCCTGAATATCGTTGTTACGGAGTGCATATTACGGCTGTGGGTAACAAATCGGATGAACAGTAAATATGGGAGCTATAGCTACATTTGAACCGATCTTCACCAAATTTGACATACTAGCTTCTAGACTCGATTCGGTCGTAAGTGCCAAATTTCATTTAATTTGTGCAAATATTAGACGATTGGTGCACAATCAAAGATAAATCGGACGAAGTTATATATGGGAGCTATATCCAAATCTGAACCGATTTCGATAAAATTTAGCAAATGTATTTCTGAGCTGTATTTGATATATTTCCCCAAATATTGTTGTTACAGAGTGCATATTACGACTGCGGAGGACAAAAATAACAAATCGGATGAACAATACACATGGGAGTTATAGCTATATCTGAACCGATTTCGATCAAATTTTGCATACTTATTTTCAGGTCCAATTTGATCGTACGTGCATACTATTCGGCCTGATTTTACACGTTTGGTGCACAATAAAAGGCAAATCGAACGAAGATATATATGGGAGCTATATCTAAATGTTTACCGATTATCTCTAATTTCAATAGGGTTCGTCCTTGGGCCAAACAAATGTTGTTTGGAAATTTTCATCTCAATCGGATACTAAATGCGTCCTGCATTTTGTTCACAAGAATACATGGACAGACGGACGGACGGACTGACATGCATAAATCGACTCAGAAAGTGATTCTATGCAGATCATCAAAAGTAACTATGGGTCTATCTCGTTCTCTTTTGTCTGTTACAAACAAATACACAAAGACATAATACCCTGACCACCTTGTGATGTAGGGTATAAAATACCTCCTACATTAATGGGTTACTCCTTTAAAAGCTGCAAAGTAAAATAACATTCCTTGCTCATTACCAAGTAATGATTAACGTCGCTAGAGAGTGGGCGCCTCCGAACCCCAAACTAAATTTTGTCCCGTGCCGGCGATAAATTTAAATTATAAATTAGGATGAGTGGCACAGAGAGTGTATATATCATTTGATACGGTCAAAACGTGCTCAGTCGAAATAGCGGTCTTAGACCCCAGGTCTCTTTGAACCAAATCCGTTTCAGGACATTTGGAGTCGATCTAGCGATGTCCGTCCATCTGTCTGTTTGGCGCACGATAACTCTCGAAGGGAGTATCAGATTTGATCCAAACTTGGTACATCGTAATATTTTTGTCAAACTTAGATCGAGTTCGGAGATGGGCAATATCGGTCCCCCTCCGTCTGGTACCTTCCCCACAAAATGTCGAAATGTTCAAAAAATATATTTGCTGCACAGAAACGATAATCCGATTCTGCTCCAACTTTGCAAGTCCTAATATTCGCAACAATGCTAGGTCAAGTGCGAAAATGGACAATATAGGTCCACTCTATCAAGTACCTCCCCCACAAAGTGTTAAAATTTTGAATAATTACAACTCTTATAAAATGTGATGTTAGAGTCTAATTGTCTTCAAATGTCACACATCCCTATAATTTGATTAACCCAAGGTCTGGTGTTAAAATGGAATATATCGGTCCACTCCTTCTGGTACCTCCCCCACAAAAGGTCGAAATTTTGAATATCCATGAAACTCTTAAAACGCGAAATAAACATCTAATACCATTTAGACTTGGCACATCTGAATATTTCTATCCATAGACAGGATCTGTCATAAAAGCTGTAGAGATCGGACCATTCCTTCTGGTACCTCCCCCACAAAGGGTCAACATTTTGTATATCCAAAACGTTTATAAAATCCAAAATAAGCATCAGGTTCTCTTTATATTTCACATGCTCAATAACAATATTGTGCGAATTTGTTTCTTGTAATAATTTTGGTAACCTATTCACCATAAAGTAGATTCTCACGCAAAATACCAAAGCTCGAAGTCTTCATAACAAAGTTATACCATTTAGTACCTTTCGCACCCTTAAAGTACACATTTCCCAAAAGCAGTTTTCGTTCAAATAAAAAAATCTATTTATTTAAGCTTTTGGCTATTTTTGACTCAGATTCTAATATGTTTACCGCAAAACGAAAGATCCAAAATTGTTCTGATTTTATATATTTTTTTAAATAAACGGAAATACCCAATTTCGATAAACATTAAAATAAAAAGTTTATTCTGAATTATTAACCCGTCCCCTGTTACCACTGTAGCTAGCTGTCAGTCTATAAATTTTAATGATGTGTCTGGAGGATAGCTGGAATATAATTCACAAGCTCTCTACAATTGAATGGGTTGTGAGGTTAGAAATTGCATTGCCAGCTAGCGGATAGATTGATGGTTGAACTGTCATTATTATTCACTTGCTTTAATTTACACGGCTGTTGCACAACGGCAAACAGCAGCAACAACAACATCAGCTGCAGCTGCAAGCGAATGGGTTGCACTTGTGGACTTAACTGGTCATAAGTGTATATTAGTCAGAGAACGACACGGCTACATAGAAGAGTATGCATGTATGTAAATTGTGTGCAACTATGGTTATAGTTGAATTATTTACTACAAATGTAAATAAACTATTCTCCAGCTCTCTGTGGTTCCATTCGCGTGTGTGTGTGTACACCGAGATCTCACTTATTTTGATGGATGCATAGAAGGAACAGTTAGATGGATGTATGAGGAACTTGAATTCCATGGCAGTTCATTTTTATTTAATTGTTCTGCTTCTGCTTCTTCTCCTCCTTCAATTTTTTTGCTTCTTCATCTTTGTTTTTAGAACGGTGTTAAATACCCAACGGTAAATTAGGTTACTAATTGTTTCAAGCGAAATAGTAGAAGCAAAAAAACAAAATAACCGCACATTAGTAAACTCACACACACGCACACACACTTTGACATACTTTGTACCATAGGAAATTGAGTATTGAGAGCAGGATTATTATCTTTTTGTTGCATTTGTGTGCACTCATCGTTGCGGAATGATGTGCACATAAGGACATCAGTAAGTTGTAGACATTTCGTTGACATCTACATGATTCTATGGATGAAGAGCTGACAATACTTTGATGCCTTAAAATAAAATGGGGAGACGACTGGAAGTGCCTGAGAGCGTATGATTAACAATGGCAATTATACGCTGCGTCTTTTTATGTTACTTTTTTTGAATGGGAAGTAATTAGTTTCTGTATCAAGATTTAGTTAATATTTTGGTGGGGGGAGGTAACTCTGAAAATGGTGCAAAAATTAACAGAAATATAAAAAGGGAAATTATCAATGGATTTGCCGAGAGTTATATACCCTTAGTATAAATTTGGAAACTAAAAAGTAAATTATTAAAAATTTGAAAATTATATAAAATCTTCTGTCTTCAACCGTCTCGCTGCAGAAGGTATACACCTCAATACACTAATACATTTAAGCTAATTATAAAAGTAACCTATTTAGAGGGGCAAATTTCCCCTTCCTTAACCTTGTTGTGTGTCTTCGTCAATATTGCAGATAACAATACGAAGATTATTTTGGTCAAATATTTTAGCCATCGAGCAAGTCAACAAAGGGATCTTTTATTCAAAATATTCGTAAAAACTCCCTTTAAACGAGATTTTAACAAACTGTTCTAAAAAAGTATTTGTCATGAAATTTATCTATAAAAGTCAGAAGAACATATACAGGGTTGTCCATATTCGACGGACCCATCTGGCAACGCCATAACTTTTGACAGAGATGTCACATCGCTTAATGACATACTGCGTTTGAAGCGTCAGTCCAAGCAGATTTTTACCGTGAACCAATACACGCCACGCGAAATAGTTGAAATTTACATTCAACAGAAGAAGTCAATTGTGAAAACTCATCGGGTTTTTAAAACATTAAAAAATGTGAGAAGTGCGCCTTCTAAGAACACCATTGAGCGTTTATACGAAAAATGTTCGACTGGTAAGGCTCTTTCTAATCCGAAGAGGCCATATAAAAGTCGACCACGGCGATCGGCCGAGAATATCGCTGCCGTACGATCCAGTGTTGAGAGGTCCCCAAGAACATCCCAAAAACGCCGTTCTCAGCAGTTGGGCATGGCTCGGTCCACTTTACAACGGATTATTCGCTTTGATTTGCATTTCTTCCCGTACAAAATTAAATTGACGCAAAGAATGTTGCCTGCGGACAAGCCTCGTCGATTGGAATAGGTCATGGGTCCGTCGAATATGGGCAACCCTGTAATTTTCGCCCAGGTCCCATACCTGCTCTAGAAGACCTACGGATGTAGTTCACCAAAACTCTCCTAAATGCAAACATTCTCCTACAGATGTTATATACTTAGAAGACCTTATATTGGTTATATTTAAATGTTTGCAATATTTTGTCATTTATGAGAAAATTACATGAAACCCCTAGCCAATTAACTAATTACTAAATTGCAATATTCATAATCTTATCGTTATATTTATAAAACATATATAAAGTTTTAATAAAATTGCTATGTGTAATAGTTATGTTTATCACTTTTATTTCATCATATTCACCTTTATTTAAATGAAGAGTAAACGGTCTCTATGTCTCTCTTTCAAATATTCAGAGCTTTTCACAACAGTGCTAGGTCTTCTCTTTAATTTCACTGCAATTTCGTAAAGAGAATTGCCAATGAATGTATTTGTAAGTGGCCTCTGAGCTTTCGCACTTAAATTGTTGTTGTAGATTACAGGAGAGCAGCGGCAGCAGCAGCAGCAGCGTCTGTTGTTTATTTATTTCTGTTGGTGTTGCAACGAGAGCAAAAGTTTCATAAAATAATCAATGGAATCGATGATGTGCTGCAATGATAACTTTGTTGTTGTTGTTGCTACTGTTATTCCAAATATTATTGTTTATGATTGCAGTTATTGTTGTTTGTTTATTACTTTATTTTGCTAGTGCTTTATATTTTTCCGTTTTCATGAGACAAAACACTGCTAGTGTTTCGTGGCCGAGTGATGATAATTTATAGAACTATTTATTGTTATTGCATCCTATGTTGTTTTGTATCATTTCCGGTTATTATTTCCAAACTTATTATCACTGTGTGCAATCAATGCTTGCTTCAAATTTTTTTTTATTTTATATCCGTTTATTTCATTTAATTTCTTCACCTTTTATTAAAACTTTAGACTTTTCCATTTATTTTCCTAAATGATTTTGATTAAATTTTTTGTTTGTGTTATTATTTTTTGGAATTTTTTTTATGATTTAAATGGTTGGGGTGTGTGTGTGTAGTAGCTTGATTGGCTTCTGACAACGACTGTTCAGTGTCAAAGTTTTGTGCAAACTTGTAATACAAGTAGTCCATAGTGGTGTATCCCCAGAATATTATCAAATATGGTTAGTCGTTACATTACACATTTGACATTCGGTTTTGATGTCAGGTCTCGTGAGAAAAGCCCCTTAAGCTTTCAGCGATACTGCTAAAGTCCATTTTCCACATTCAAGGTTGTCCCCTGTCGACATCAATGAAATGAGAAAAAAAACCTTTGCAAAACAACAACTTTTTTTCTGGGTAATCAAAATGGGAAAGTAGGAGAAGAAAATTGAGAGAGAAAAGTTACCGTTACATTGAAGAGACTGTGTGTCACAGTTAACATGGGCAAAAGCTCATGTTAAATTAACAGGTGTTAATTTGAATGAATTTTATTTAATATTAAATTAAAGGCTATGAACATTTTAGCTGATATTTATAAAGGAATTGCGAATAAAAATATTGAGTATTTAATAATCAAATAGTACATGTCACAGTCCTAACCAGAGAATTATACAAAGAATTAATTACACTCTGCAACAAAAAAAAAATAATAACAGATTATGGAATTAGAGCTCAAAAGCTTACATGGATCCACATTTTTTAAAATTCTCGGATTTTTGCTGATTTTCATAGTGTCTTCGGGAATATTGCACATAAACACACCAAAACAAGTTAATAAATGGGACTTTTTGGGCCATTTTTGAAAATAAGTTTAAAAGCTCCAGATCAAATTTCAAAAATAGCCTCTAACCAGAAGAAATTTTGTGTACCTTATATTTACTTTAACAAGTTTAAAAGTATTAGTCGGTTTCGCCGACAGATGTATACCCTCAGCCATTATTCGTTTATTTAAATATATTTTGACTTTTGTTATGATTATTCAAATTGTTGACCCTCTATTGAGTTGGTTCCGTAGGAATGGATCAATACTGTCCATTTCGTATCGTACCTAAATAATAATGATATAAATATTGCGACGTGCCAGGTATGGGCTATATTTCCTATTTCCTTTACGAGATATGTGATAATTTTTAGAAAATGTTAAAATGTGCGAAATATTGCATTTTCGTACTTCATCAAATACAGATAAAAATATTGGTATACACAAAATTACAAGAAAATCGGACATTTACAGGGTGAGATGAAAAAACTGCAACCAACTTCAGACTGCTGTCTTTTATAAGCCACTCGTCCGAGAGCTGCTAAAATTGTTCCAGTGACAGCTCATTACAAGCGTACAAAAGCATTTTGGTGAGATTTTTACAGAAAAAAAGTTATTCGTGATGGAATTCAAGGGCGGATAGTGTGATTTATTTATATTTGGCTGGAAAACCACAAGTATCTATCGTTAGAGCACTCCAGCATTTAGATGTGAATAAATCTTTTTTCTCTCGTACCATCGCTCGTTACCGTGATACTGGTAGCGTAGCCCCTACGTCAAGGAAGTGGACGGAAGAAAAAAGCAACATCAGCAGAAATGGTTCGAAAAGTAAAGAAGCGACTCGATCGAAACCCGTGTCGCAGTGGCCGAAAAATGGCTCGTGAGCTGAACTTATCGCAATATTCCATTCGTCAAATATTGGAAAATGAGCTCGGGGTAAAACCATTAACTCTTCAAAAAGTGCAAGAACTTACACCGCAACAAAAGGAAAATAGAGTCAAAAGAGCTAAAGATTGCTTCGCTTGGCCGAAAGTGGTGAACTGCCGAATTTGGTTTTCTCCGATGAGAAAACATTCGTTGTCCAGCATTTTGTAAACAAACAAAATGATGGTGTTTACTTGCCAAGAGGTCAGCTGAAAATGTGCACCTTCGATTGGCCACCAGAACTCAAGCGCCGGCCATGGTGATGGTGATGATGGGCTGCCATAACAGACGATGGTCGCTCTCCGCTCGTATTAATCGACCGTGGCATCAGAATAAATACCGAATATAATAGCGAAAATATTCTGGAGGGTGTATTAAAGCCTTGGACACGGAAACATTTTGGCCGCAGACCTTGGACATTCCAACAGGACTCAGCACCATCGCACCCAAGAATGGTTACAAAATGAGATTCCTCGCTTCATTTTCAGCGCATAATGGCCACCAAAATCTCCGGATAACAATCCGTTGGACTATTTTGTCTGGAGTATTTTGAAAAGCAAGGTTGGCACTAAAAATACCAAAGTGTCGATCACCTCAAGCAATCGCATCGCCAGGAATGGGCCAAAATACCGCAGAGCAACATGCGGGCAGAGTGTGACGGTTTCATTGTCCTTTTGAAGGCCATAATTCGTGTCAAATGTGTCCAATTTGAACAAATATATACTTATTTTAAAATTTGATGCCATTTTCGACATTTTTGGCTTTCATTAAAAAAATTTTAAGAAAATGTTAAAACTATGGCATTTGACTTTATTGCAGTTTTTTATCTCACCCTTTATATCCAATTTAATCCGAAATCATAAATTTCATGAGGTACCAGAAGGCGTTCGCAGATATATGTCATCTTCACAAGAGATCTTGTGTTAGCAAAAACGTGCGGAAGGTACCAGAAGAAATCGTCCGATAAATCCTATCATTATAACACATCTTGTATTAATGGAAATATTGATATGTGCCAAGTCTGAATGGAATCGGATGATAATTTCGCGTTTTATGAGTTTCATGGATATTTGTTGACCCACCTTTCCCATTCCATCTTTACACCAGTCCTTTGGTTAAAAGAATATTGTGATGTGTGAACTGCGAAGAGAACCGGATGCTTATTTCGGATTTTATAATCGTTTGGTTATTCAAAACTTTGACCCTTGATACCAGAAGGAATATTCCGATCTCCACCATCTTTATAACAGATCTTGTGTTGAAGGAAATATTGAGATTTTAAGTCTAAATGAAATCGGATGTCAATTTTGCGTTTAGGAGCTTCACGAATATTTAAAATTTTGGCACTTGGTGAGGAAGGTGCCAGAAGGAGTGAACCGATATATCCCATCTTCACACCAGACCTTGTGTTAATATGAATATTGTTATGTGTATAATTTTAGGACAAGCGGACTCTTACATCACATTTTATTTAGAGCTATAATTATGTAAAATTTTGACCTTTGTGGGGGAGGTACTTGATGGAATGGACCGATATTACCCATTTTCGCACCTGTCCTAGCACTGATGCAAATATTAGGATTTGCAAAGTTGGAGCAAAATCTGATTATCCTTACTCTATCTGTGCAGTAAAATATTTTTTGAAAACCTTTGCATGGAAGGTACCAGGAGGATAACAATTTTATGCTGATCATATATTATTTAAAAATTACTTAACAATGTGTTACCATTCTTTTCTTGATTTCATATAACAATAGCTTCAATAAATTTATATTTCATACAAAAGTCTTCAAATCAATTGATTTCAATTTTAATATTCCTTGCATTAATACTATATTTTCTCACCACACCTCAAATATATATTTCTCTTAACTACTATATCTAAAAAACCAGTAAAGAAAGTCCTAAAGTCGGGCGGGGCCTACTTAATGATACCCTACACCACTTTGCTAATTTAGTAGAGCTCCACATAACAATTGAAAGTTTTTATGGGAGAATTCAGTCATACACGCTAGGATTATAATTATAATTTAAAGTTCAAAGGACTAAATATGCCGAATCATTTGTATCTTTCAAATTCGGACTTGCATTGCCCATTTGGTGCACAATCAATCCAATTCTGAACAGATCTCGATAAAATTTGCCAAAGATATTTCTGAGCTGTATTTGATATATTTCCTTGAATATCGTTGTTACGAAGTGCATATTGCGGCTGTGGGTAACAAATATAACAAATCGGATGAACAATATATATGGAAGCTATAGCTATATCTGAAGCGATCTTCACCAAATTTGACATACTAACTTCTAATTCTCAATTCGGTCGTAAGTGCCAAATTACAACCCATTTAGACAAATATTAGACGTTTGGTGCACAATAAAAGCTTAATCGGACGAAGTTATTCAGGGTTGCCCATATTCGACGGACCCATCTGGCAACGCCATAACTTTTGACAGAGATGTCACATCGCTTAATGACATACCGCGTTTGAAGCGTCAAAGGTATTTCTGAGCTGTATTTGATATATTTCCCCAAATATTGTTGTTACAGAGTGCATATTACGGCTGCGGAGGATTTCGAAATTTATGGGCTTCATAGATTTCTATTTCGATCAAATTTGGCGTACTTATTTTCAGGCCTAATTTGGTTGTATGTGCCAAATTCCATACTATTCGGGCTGATATTACACGTTATGTGCACAATAAAAGGCAATTCGGACAAAGATATATATGGGAGCTATTTCTAAATTTTTACCGATTATCTCCAATTTCAATAGGGTTCGTCCTTGGGCCAAACAAATGATTTGTGCAAAATTTCATCTGGATCGGGTAATAAATGGACAGGCGGACGGACGGACAGACGGACAGACATGCATAAATCGACTCAGAATGTGATTCTATGCAGATCATCAAAAGAAACTATGGGTCTATCGCGTTTCCTTTTGCCTGTTACAAACAAATGCACAAAGACATTATACCCTGACCACCTTGTGGTGTAGGGTATAAAGAATAGAATTTTTAATCATAGCATAGAAAAATGGGCTGATGAAATCTCAATTCCGGCCATTATCGACGCACTGTAAGATGAAAACAATGGACATGACATGAAGAGCGAGCTTGTGATGTGGTTCTTGTAATGTGCTGTCCTCAGATTGTATGAGATATTATGATTAAAAAACCAGAGAAATACTCTATTCAAAACTTACAGGTGCCAAGAGAGAGACATTTTAATAAAAACTTACAAAAGACATGTAAAGAACGTCAAACAAAAACAATAATATGTCCTAATTCAATAGGGCACTGGGTTTCCGGAGTCATTAAACGAGACGCACAATCGCTTACATATTCCTCATGCCATCAGGACGAAATTTGAAAACTAAGCTAAGTACAAAAAGCTTTTTTTTTATAAAATGAGCTGATGATGAGTCTGATGTAAAG